TTGGCACGTCTAATCGCATGTCACGTGGCTTGATATTTTATTTCCTGTTGGTCAAGGTCAAACAGAGAATGGGAAGGTGAAATTGGGTCAGATTGGATAAAAAGGCAAATGTGCTCACACCACAATTACGTGCGCACCGTTGAGCCAATTTCGTTGCGAGAATTCATTTTACACCCATGTCGAATAATTTTAAATTGCTTTCAATTCTTTTTCATTTTTGAAGTTTTTTTCACTGCCCGCTCCCTGGGTCAAGTGGCACTCCTGTTCGACTCTGTGGTCAAAAACATAAAATTAGAGTGGTCGGAGAGCGCTTAAGGCATTGTCTTAAGCGTCCAAGCCGATGTTCATGTCCATCTTCATAATTCCTCTGTACCAGTCTATGAGCAAAAATGGCTTGGAACTGCCAAACTGTAGAATTTGGACAAAATGATGCAACTAAGCTCCCATGAAACCAAAAATCAGGGAAGGCCTGAGCCCCTGAACTTTTTTCAAAGAGTTATTCGGGGATGTCCTGCTGTTCGCAGCAGCGTAATTAGTCCATCTGAACGGTCCTACCATTGGAGGGCATCGCGAAAGCCTTTTGTTCTTGATGCGAGCCACTAGTTGCCATTTTACATTAACTTTGAAAATGCGCATGGGGCGCCCAACCCTAAAATAAAAAATCGTTTCGAAAAAGATGCAGGTCGAAAAGAGCAAGTTGAGCCTTAGTACCAGCTAGCATTCATCTATCACAAAGGTATAGGTATAATATTTAGGTATATCTAGATATAGATATAAATATAGGTGTAATGAATATATAGGAGCTCCCATGCGCCAAACGTGAGGTTTCCGAAGCAAGAGATGTGTTAATAAAAATCCTTGGGCAATAATGTTGTGGATTAGGGATTGTTCTTATGCCTACTCCTACCCGTCACCCATGATCAGATGAGCGAGCGCTTTGTCAGAATAAAAAAGCATGAAGAAGGCAACGTTTAAATGAGCTTTCGCCAATGCTGGCCGTGCATTTCACTTGAAAATGTATTACGGGATTTTTTAAGATACAAAGCATAGGATAGTTGGTTGTATTGTAGTGACATATAAATCTCTATTTTGAATGAAATCTGCATCTTGAAAGACAACCGGTGTACTAAATGAGGTGCATGATTTGTATCACACTGTGGTACTACTTTAAGCACGGCAGTCCTAAGTCCGTAGCGTTATGACCAAAGGTAATGCACACAGGCGAAATAAGTTCGCTTTTCATGGTTTGATGGGGTTTAAAGGCTGCTTTTGAAAGCGTTATGTTATTCCTTCAGGGCCCTCGTTAAGGTTCTCATGTGTGAGCCCAGATGGCCACGTGTACGAAAATCTTGATCCTCAACCCCTAGTCATACACGTCATGGAAGCTCAAATATTAGTTACAAAATTACTTTCCATTAAACTTATTTCACAACGCTTGACCTAACATTACCCGAGAGTTGAACAAAGCTTAATAGATTTCGTTATGACGTAGTATGGTATGATACAATGAATTGATCCAAGAAAAGAGGATTAGAACGAATATCCTATGATAAGCATGCGGCGAGGTGCGCCAGAACACGGTATGCCTTAGGCTTTACCCAGACAGGGTCGGTCTCTTGTCATTCGCTTGCAGTGACTTTTAAAATGTATAATCTTCAAACTCGGACGAGAGGTGCACAAGGTTCGAACTCAGGTGCCGAAGATTTCGGCGTCTAGCCCTTCTCGTTTCAAAGTTATTCCAGAAAATACTTCTGTGCGCGCTTGAGATCCCCAGCAGCAATATCTGGTGACGACTAAGGCATTGGGTGTAACATTCCACAAAAGACTGTGCGTTGCATTGTAGCAGTCGTGGCGTCTCCTTGTTCTTATGGCCCTTGCTCTTGCTGACCATTCATTTCTTTCAGTTGCATGCAATCCGACAGTTTTCGCTGCAAAATAGAGTGATAGTGGCAAGTACCACTGCAGTGTACTTAGGAACGTAGAATCGCCGCACATTGTGGGCCAAACCCCCTTTCGAAACCAATTCTTTCGGCGCAAAAGAATGCCATCAATGCTACCATTCCCAAGGAGATGGGTGGAACATGGCTTGCCAGGGCCCTCTGCGTTGTAGCTCAAATTTCACAGATTAACTGCAACGAAACAAGCGGTCAGCTGGAGTCGAACGCCCATAGCGGTCTTGCCAGCCGGTCGGCGGTATCACTGCACACCGGGCTTAGTGCCACTTCGAAATACTGACCGTCTATTCACGTTTTTCTAGCCGTAATGTTTGTGCGAGCTTTTAAATCTGCCGTGGGTACTGTTGCACACTGACAACACTATCAGGAGCTGCCATATTGCAATATGGCAGCTCTTTGGGCCACACCGTGAGTGAAAGAAAAAATGCATGCGACATCATTTCTGCTGTTCTTGGGTGGCCTTCACGCATATAATATTGAATGTTTTTAGATGAATTAAACCAACTTAGTTTCAGTAATACTTCGGTAGCGAAGCACTTCCGGTGCATCTTTTGTTGCGAAAAACTGATTTCGCCACCACCGGAGAGAAAATCCAGTTCAACGGGTAATGTTTATCACAGCGTTGTGTCTCTATTTTCGTCATCCAATTTGAAACATCTTTATTGTGCTATGTCAAGTCATCTGTGTCGCCCCCGCTAGGCTGACGCTGTCCGCTGCCAGCCGACCGCCTCTGATGAGCCAAATGATCGGAGCTCCTTCTGAGACACGAACCATCGAAGCCCCCCCCCCCCCTCCCTGGTCGTCACGTGCTCGATATTCCGCGAACTGAACTGCCGTGCTGCCGATCAAAAGACTGTTCCAGCCCTCCAGCTCTAGAGCGGGGATAAAACTACCATTTCAGAAAGCAGCTTTTAACCGGAACAAAGGTAAGGCACCGGATATATTTACACTTCTACAATGGGGACTTCGGTTCACTGCATCGCGATGCTATTGCATTAATGCAATGTTGCAATTCTCGCACGGGACTGCAGGGCCATCCCCCATGGGGTTCCCAATAAAGCCCAAACTTTGCAGGCACAGCGCGGCGTGAATAACCAACGGCTGGATGCAGTATATATATATATATATATATATATATATATATATATATATATATATATATATATATGTATATGTATATACACAACTATTGCATGCGGTTCAAGCACTTTCAATTACGAAATAACTCATTACCATCGATTTTATCCACGCTGTGGAGGTGTTCACCTTTCAGTAAATTTGATGGAGGGAATTAAAAGGGCATTTCTGTGTGCTGAATATGTGAAATTATGGCGAGCCATATCGTTGAAAGCGACAATTACGTACTATCAGAAGGCGTTGCAAAGTTCTAAGATATGCAAACCGAAGAGAATTTGAAAATCACGCTGAAATAAATCATTTTTTTTAGAAAAGGAAAAAAACAATCTGCGCGAAGTTGGGTTTCAAGATGCTGCAGTTCGTTTGAGCGTCAACCCTTAGGCAATGGAGTGGGGCGGAAGTTAACACCACGTGCCGGGTGAGGCTTCCAAGCAACACCGCGTGCTCATGCGAATTGATCAATGGTGGACGCAGATCGGAGCACATTCTTTTGCGCCACACCACGCGCCGGCGCACGCTGGTAAACAACACATTCTGATGTGTGTTCCATGTTGTGTGTTCCATGCAGTTCTGATGTGTGTTCCATGTTGTTGCGTGACCTTGCACGACTTTCAGCGCGCCAGTAATTTTGTGACAACCCGCCAGTGACGCTCGTTAAGACGGCGCTTACTGGCGACTGCCGAAGCCATGTGATATGCGCCAGCAAGCGTTGACATGTTCCCAGTGCTCTTTCGCGTTATTCGGGGTAAACCGCAGAGTTCCGGCCGGCCTGACAGAGCCCTGACAGTGACATGTCACGCCCACGCCCACGCGGGTTTCCGGCGAGCCCTGACAGGTTCCGGTGCTGATGTATCCCGATGGCGTCTTGGGTCCTGTCGCGTCTGCCCGTCGGCCCGGCTCAACCGCGTTCGCTGAGGGTGTGTGGATGCCTCCGCCGCGGGGGTGCCGCGACGCGTCTGCGGGGGGTGCCGCGACGCGTCCACCGGGGGTGCCGCGACGCGTCCACCGGGGGCGCCGCGACGCCTCCGCCGGGGGTGCCGCGACGCGTCCACCGGGGTGCCGTGACGCGTCCCCTGTGGGTGCCGGGACACGTCCGCCCTGGGTGCCGCGACGCGTCCACCGGGGGTGCCACGACGCGTCCACCGTGGGTGCCGCGACGCCTCCGCCGCGGGGGTGCCGCGACGCCTCCACCGCGGGGGTGCCGCGACGCCTCCGCCGCGGGGGTGCCGTGACGCGTCTGCGGGGGGTGCCACGACGCGTCCGCCGAGGGTGCCGCGACGCGTCCACCGGGGTGCCGCGACGCGTCCCCTGTGGGTGCCGGGACACGTCCGCCCTGGGTGCCGCGACGCGTCCACCGGGGATGCCACGACGCGTCCACCGTGGGTGCCGCGACGCCTCCGCCGCGGGGGTGCCGCGACGCCTCCGCCGCGGGGGTGCCGCGACGCCTCCGCCGCGGGGGTGCCGCGACGCGTCCACCGGGGGCGCCGCGATGCCTCCGCCGGGGTTGCCGCGACGCCTCCGCCGCGGGGGGTGCCGCGACGCGTCTGCGGGGGGTGCCACGACGCGTCCGCCGAGGGTGCCACGACGCGTCCGCCGTGGGTGCCGGGACACGTCCGTCGCATGTCCAGCGGCGGGTCTCGACGGCTCGTTCCGGCGATGCCGCCGGCGGGCCGGCCGCGAGTGAGTGACGGCCCGCCGGCGACCCCGCCGACGGCCGCCGGCGCCGCCGCCGGCCGTCCATCGCTGGTGGCGGCAGCGCGCCCACGCCGCCGCCGCTACTACCATTCACCACCGGCCGGCGGCGCGCCATTGGCCGAGCCGCTGAATGAAGTCACGTGGAGATCGGCGGCGATTTAAGCGCCGGCTACGGCGGCCGGCCGGTAGGCGTGTGCGGACGGTCAGCAGGGAGGCGCCGCCGGCGAGCAGCGCGACCCTGACCCGACATGAGGTCGAGCCATGTTATGGTGGGCCGCGGACTCGTGCTGGCAGTGTGGTGCGTTCTCTGCCCCGTCGCTAGAGGTGAGTGACGATCGCGGCGAGATGAGGCTCGCCTGACTGAGCCTGTGTGAACGGGATTGCAGCTGTGGGCTATACTGACGGCAGGCTGCTAAAGCAGTTGTATGGTCACGGCCTTTGGAGCTGGCGCTTTACATACGTTCCACAACATTTTAAAGATGGTCGTTAGCTGTCACAGCTTAGCGGAAGGGCGTGTTCAGGCAAGCGGATGCCCTTAGTATGCGGTGATGCGAGCTCCTTTTGCGCTTAAATCCCTGGTCATAGTCATAGACCATCCATCGCCACTGCGTAACGGGGAACTTGGGGTAGGGACTTGTTTCTTTACATTGTATACCTTAAAATAAATATCAGGCAAGACCACGCTGCGCTGTGGCATTTGTGCTACGCGTCGTTTAGGCTGGTACCGCAGTCCCGGCGCAGAGCAGTGGCAATGTAGTAAGGGCAGTGCCAATGTAGCACTAGCATCCAAACTGGGACGTGGGCCGACAATCGGGAACAGATAAACGACCAATCATTTAGAGCCCACCGGAGACGGCGGCGGTTGCAGAGCCCTCTGCTTGACAGATGACCGTGTCGGACGCAGAGATTTGTCGTGAGCCAATTGGAAGCGCCCAATCAAACGTGCTGCATGGCACAATCGACTGCTGATTGGCCCCAGCTTTGCTTCTCAGCCTGAGTAAATCGCCTCACGTTATGATGTTGAAATTATTCGGTGGTGGTTGTGACTGAATAACTGTCGTCGATGTAATGAAGCAGCTGCAAGTGCCACTGTCTAGTGTTGTGACGCAGAGTTATTGGGTAAATATTCAATATCTTTATAATTATTTCCATTGTCCGCTATGAAATATAAAAACACAAGCTGGAATGATAGTAGTGTCATACGTTCGTAACCAGCAGTTTTTGAGATCTCCGCAGCCTGTCTGTGTTCGAACTGAGCTTGGTGTTCAGCTACAAGCCTCGCGATTGGCTTCGATTAGAAGTGTCTGATCGATAATATGCCAGATCGGTTTTACGCAATTTTGTCCCACGTGGCAAAGGAATGCTACACTCATCACCAAATGAAGGTCGCTTGTTTTATTACAAAATATGCCTGCTGAACCGCTCTTGAACCTAGGGTGATTAGTTCACGCATTACGTTGTTCGCGCTGGACTCTGTAACGGCAATGAAGCAGTACACCATGCACCTATCCGACGCGCACGCATCAGTATAGGCATCGACTAGCAGAAGCATGTGGTGCTTCAAGTGAGGCTAAGTTTTGTAAATAACATTTTCATGGATGTATTGCCCACTGGTGGCTGAAGAAAAAGTGACGAAATAGCGAAGAAGTAGTATTTGACCACAGACCTTTATGGAAACAGTTGCATAGTACATGGACGAGGCTGTCCCTATCCATTTATTGTACCAGCTTACGTCGAGGGCCTATGGCCGAAATAAAAATCCACCGCCATTTTGTCACTTTTCAACCCGCGAGCAATACGGCCAAGAGCGGTGTTCTTACGAATACGTGATGCTCCTCGCAGCTCCAACATTGTGCTATATATATATATATATATATATATATATATATATATATATATATATATATGTATCGATGCTTCTCACTCGACCGGTAAGCGAACCCTGCGCACCTCTTCGGTGTGGCGCTACGTGCCCACTCTCTCAGACTGCGTTGCCGAACTCCCGGTGCTTGCTTCATAATAACGAGCTGTTTTTAGAGCACAGCGTTCGTTCGCGAATGTTGTCTTGGATGTCGTCGCATTGCTCCTCGCGAACAAGTGTTCAAATCGCATATTTCGCGTCATGTGCGCTGCGTGCAAATACGGACACACGCGGCTGGATTCGGTGAACTGTGCACTGGTGAGGCGGTGGCATTTGAAACACTGCGCAATACAGATGATTATTGCATACTTCCTGTCAAGCGTCATTTCATTGTACGCTCTCTGTTTCAATTTGAGCTACATTTCCGTGCTTCTGGCCTGTTTCTTCATATATCATTTGTTCGATCGGATGTGGTCCGATTCCAGCAGCACTTTTATTTCCGATGGTGTTACTGGCAGGATGTGACCATTCTGCAAAAAATAAACAGCCAGCAGTGCTACTCTAGATATTTTTTTATGCACTCTCATATGTGTATGACTATCAATACATGCATCACGAAGTGGAAGGAAAGGGGAAAGCACTGGTATCACGGGATTGCACACGTGCCTTGCAACGTGTCCTGCATCAATTGCTCTTGCCTTTTGATATGATGCTGTTGATGCGACTGCGGTAACTGAATAAGGGAAGCATGACTGCTTGAAGCATGCAGGTAAATGTAATATTGCTTACAGAATAAGACGGAGTGGAGTACTTTTGGAAATAGTTTGACATGACAGAGTATATATATATATATATATATATATATATATATGAACACATGTCTGTGCATGCATATATATGTATGTACTTCTTTATGCGAACTACATTTTCAGGGTCCTGTCCAGCGCAGTCCGCCACGTTAAGTTTTCAAACCGTCAGCGAATCAACGTTTTGCACGGTTCCTGGTTCCATTTCCAATCCGTCTCCACGATTCCTGGTTCCATTTCCAATCCGTCTCCACGATTCCTGGTTCCACAGTTCGATCCGGTGAAGCACAGCTTGTGCTCAATATCAGCCGCGTTAATGGCTGCTGCATATGTGTTCCAACTAAAAAACGTTCCAATAAAACGAGCACTTCATATATTGGGCTCATCTAAGCCGATGTGTTAAGTTAATGCCACTTACAACACGCACAATTTTTCAAACTAATTCATAAATCTTAAGTGGTCTGCTAGACTTATCACCAGATATAATTGATTTGGCGATTACGCGCACCTGTGCAACATAGGTAAATACTTTCATTGGGAAGAAGTTAACAGTCGTTTTATTGCACCCATTCTGCTAAGAATAAATTCATGTGAGCAAACACTGATGTAATTTGACCCCTGGCTAATGTCTGCTACTGCAGCTCTTTATGAGCATTGTATTAAATATTGATAATCAAATATGAATGTTCTCTTAGAGCGATCGAAGGATGGCGCACAAATAACAACTGTGCATAGCTGAAACCTGTGCGCCATCATCCAGATGTAAGGGGGAAGTTGTCGCATTGCAACCAGATGCCGCCGTTGTTCATGATTATACGGACACTGATTGTTAGCTACTGTCTTGGTTGCAGAGGCAGAGATGCTTTGTTAAGCTTCTAATGAAATAATGATTGGTTTTATTGAAAGAATGTTTGTGCAAATGTGCTACTGATTACATTTGCCATGAAATGTAACCGAAGGTCAGTGTCTTATTCATTAGATGTAAATGCACCATTGATTGCATTCACCTTGCAAATGTTACTGGCAAGTTCATCGTCAGACGCGCCGGAAGTGTAAGTGCTGTCCAAGGACAAATTGCATAAAATGAATACGCGAATCAACACTTTTGATTTGCGTCGGACTCACATGGACTCAAAGACAACAAAAACGTATTACTACCAACGTATTTTAGTAATGATAGCTAAAAAAACGAATAGAGAATCAGAAAAAAATAGGTAACATTAGTGAATCATGAGATCAAGTAAACTGAGTTATTTTTCAGCTCGTAGGCGTAAACGGCTATAGGCGAGAAAGTTTGCAATTTCACCTATGAAGGTAGGTGCAAGTCAATAACACATTTGTGCCATTTTGTGCCGGATGATTGTGCTTATCAAAAGTTTCGATTAGGTCGACGTCCTGCGTCATAGTTTTGCCCATTGCGCTGAATTTGCAAAATTTGCTTATTTTGGATACCATCCGTTGTCACATGCAAGATCCTCACCATCATCCAAGATCCATTTGGCCTATAGCCTCATTTCCCTTCATACGTTTGCACAATACCACAAAATGACAGCATGATACACAGGGATGACAGTTAACGGAGAATGTTATGTCAGTTAACGGTACTGAACTCGGACGTGAATCCGCGGTTCACCGTGAAAGCCGGTACTCCCCCCCATCTCTTAGATCCAGAGAAAACATACGGATTATTAATGATTGGAAGTAAAACAGACTCAGGAAAGTTTGAAACCAACCCAAAACAGTTTGTCGGTATGTCCTTCAAGAAAAGCATCACCACTCTTTGTCTTCGCATTAAAAGGCACAATATGACACTCAGCCACATAATAAAAACGACATGGTGGACCTCTAATTACATTTTCGGCTGTTACCTTCAGAAATTACCTCGCGAAATAATCCTGATGAGAAATATTGCCTTGGGGCACGCCTTGGCCACTAGCCTGAGCCTTCTTCATCTTTTTGGAATGTAGCGACAAAGTGTCCTGCAATACGTTAAACTAAGGCAATCGTTGGATGCGATAATAATGGCATGACCTGCAATGACTCAAAAGCGTTTATGCGGTATCAAATGCCCAACTTTAGACAAAAACGCAAGGCTGACATGTATTTATAGCTCACAAGTGGTGTTTCTCTCAACTAGTTTGACTCCAAGACAGCTTTTGTGAAGTTAATTAATATTTGCGATAACAATTGTAACAAACAAATTTTATTTGTGCTCATTATGTAGCCTCTAAGGTTACAATGTACGCGTTGAATGGTATGCATTTCACAATTTGAAAACCCAACTGATCCGGTCCGTCAGGAAAAAAACACACCCAAGGCCTCTAACCACACCTTACTTTTTGGCCAACTTCACCTTAAAATGCAAAATGTACGTCATTTTCCGAACACGTGCCGCATACGTGGTCGCATGTAGGACTTCATAAACTGACATCAGACTTCATCCCGTTCATCCCACCTGCGTGTCGGCTTTGTAGCCTGATCCGTTCTTTTTCCGTGTCGCTTCGAGCTGCCCCTTTCACCATTACGTTTCAACGCTCAAGCCATGGATCAGGTCTACATACGCATATTTATCTATATAGCAAAAAAATCGACGGTCCAAAGACCCAGGCATGATCGGTGTGAACTTCCACTACGTTAACATGCTTTCGCGGGCGTATCAGTTTCAGAGGGCTAGATCTAAGATGACGAAGTGTATTGAGACAGTAGCCTGGCATTATAGTATCGAAATGAACCTAGTAAATCTCCGAAGGCAAAAAGACATATTTCAATAGAACTTGACTCGCTTATATTTCGAACAACATATGACTTTTTCAGTGTCATGGTAAATTATTATGGTGCTTATCCTGGACTGAAATTGGCCAAAGGCCGACATAAAATTGAACGCATCGTCAAACCAGCTTCTGCCCACAGCCGACAACAAACCATGCCTCAAAGCGCACAACTTATACTAGCACAACGTTCTCCAACATTCACGTCTGCTGGAGGCAAATGTAATTGAGATCTAGTGCTCTAAAGGTACTAAAGGTCACGCACGCCGCGCCAATTCGCGCCGCCCACTGTTCTGGCGCCGCTCGTTCCACGCCGCCCACGCCGCACAAGTCACCGGCTGCATGCAGGGCCCGGCAATTCGGCGTAGAGCTCTCCGTTCAGAGCCTGCGACAGCTCAACTCACGGAATGTTGGACAGTGTCGCACGGCTGGTGCTCGCGCCGTGTTATGACTGTGCGCAGTAGCGCAGAATGGCGCGCCGCGAATAGCACCCGCGCTTGGCGGCGTGGGCCTGGGTGTGATTGTCAGGGTGCTTGGAGTTCGCAAGTTGGAGAAGTACCCTGATCGAGAATTCGTCGTGAGACTGCCGCCGAGAGTTGTTCAAAGAGTTCTAGTTTCTCGCGACGAAAGGAGGCAGCGTCCGCGCCGCCCACCCGAGGTATTCATGCCTCCATCCACTTGTCAGCTGCAGATATTTGCGGCTCCTGTTCGTGCAAGCTAACTTGCGGAGCATCCTTCGCACCTCTGTAATTCCCCTAGCCCTGACACTGCCGCCCTCTGCGGCACTCCTGACGAGCCTTCGAAGGGATCAGTGACCCTGGCAACGAAATGCCAGATCGAGCTACTCCGTAACGGATTTCCGCCACTTCAAGGATCTGCATCGCGTACCGTTCACGCAATTCGGCAATGACTTGCAGCAATGCATGGCCGTTGCACGACGATCCAAACAGTCACCCGCTGGACAGCCCTGCAGGGAATCATTGCGGAATTCCAACATGTCGATGTTACGCTTACTTGAATCTTTCGGCACATGATCAAACAACATCAAACAGCGGAAAGTGACAAAATCATACAGCCGGAAGTGGCAAGTTATACAAAATTATACAGGACCGGTGCAAAGGCATGAACAAAAACTAATAACAGACGTATGATTGCCCGCCGGCGTTGTCGTGCGCAGCGCGAGGATGTCGATGGTTGGCGCGCGACTGCCGGCGTTGTCGTGCGCAGCGCAAGGATGCTGATGATTGGCGCGCGACTGCCGGCGTTGTCGTGCGCAGCGCGAGGATGTCGATGGTTGGCGCGCGACTGCCGGCGTTGTCGTGCGCAGCGCAAGGATGCTGATGATTGGCGCGCGGCTGCGCGGCGTTGTCCTGCGCAGCGCGAGGATGTCGATGGTTGGCGCGCGACTGCCGGCGTTGTTGTGCGCAGCGCGAGGATGTCGATGGTTGGCGCTTGGCTTGGCGTAAGCTCTCTGCGGCTTGACAATATTGCTGAGTCATCGACAGCGGTGCATCTCCGCTGTTTTCCTACTGAAGAATATCAACTCTGAATAAACAACACCACACGTCCACTGATCTAAGCGCATTCGAGCCCAAAAGTGCACACAACTTTGTGAGTCTGGTGAAGCAGGACAAAAGAACATCGCGGAGATCTACTAGGAGATGACTTCAAACAGCCAGAAGACATCACTCACCCCGCATGTTGGCGCCGGGCTTGACGCAGAGCCAACGCCAGGTATTCCCGTTCGCCGAACAATGTGACAGGCCAAGGCGTGATTTCTGTGCGCATTACAAGCACTGCGCACGAGCTATTTTCTGTCTCGGCCACGGCGACGTGGTGAGACCCAAATCGCCTCCCGTGGCCAGAATAGCCGGGCTCCCGGCCGCCGTCTAGCCGGACCAATCAAGCTCTTCAATGGACCAGCAGGGAATCTGGCGGCGCGACCACCCGTGAGATGAGTGCGGGGGCGACCGGTCCCCCCATCACGGCTCTCGCCCGCCTGGCTCTCAAATGACGTGAGACCGACGCAGCCGCCGCAGATTAAGCACTTCCGCGCCGCGGCGCGCGGCGCGTAGGTGCACGCGGCGGGCGGCGCGGAGGCGCACGCGGCAGCTGGTTCTCGGGCGTGCTCGACGTCGACGACGTGTCCAGCAGGCCTGAGCGGGCCGACTGGCGGCAGAGGGAGCGCCAGTCGACCTTTTGCCTCACCTCACGTGCCTCTACTCCATTGTGTCACTTGCCGGGAGGACCGAGTCTCTCCTGCAAAGCCCTAAAAGAAACCGGAATCGAAGGGAAAGTTCCATTTGCTCCCGAATGGAAGACAAGTGTAGCATTGAAAACTCGAAATCACCCGCAAAAGCTGCCATTTCCCATCTCAGTCTTGACTGGCCGCACTGCTTTGTCCGTCGGAAGAGAAACATATGCGGTGAGACTTGGTACAGCTGGACTCGTACACATGCTGAATATACATGCCGGTGTGCTCTGCGTCCGGCGGCGCTTATCACCATTGAGCTTATTGCTCGATATTCCCGTCTATGCCTCTGTACACTTGCTGTGTTTTCTCCCAACTTTTTTCCTGTCATTTTTCATTCCGTTCTTGCCCTTCCATCTTTCTGTCCATCGCCCGCTTCCATCCCGCCCACTGCTCCCACCGCCCTGTCTCCGGTCCTGCCCTCCGTTCCCTCTCTTCAGCTGGTGACGCGAGCCCCCGTCCCCAGCTGGCAATTGCTGGGCCATCGGCAAGAAGGGTCGCTGCACGGACCTGCTGCAGACGGGTGTGACGCGTGAGGCGTGCTGTGCGGGTGGTCGCCAGCCGGCCGCCTGGTCGCCGCGGGACCTGGAGGACGGCCGCCTCTTCTTCTGGCGCGTCATCGAGGGCGGCGTGCCCTGCAAGCCCTGCAAAGGTCAGTGTTCTGGTCAGGGCAAACTGAGGTCACCGAGACAGGACTGACCGCGCCCAGCATTACCGCACGTGAAACTTCCGCCACAAAATTGTGCCGTTGACCTGGAATTTCAAGGTGGGCTGGTGGGGTCAGGGCTCACACAGCAAGCACAGATTTACGCGGGTCCTGGCCTCAGAGATTCATTTAATCAAAAGGCTCGGACTGCACGTTTCAATAAAATGCAGCATGAAAGACAGAAGGAGATGGCGGAGGGCAGTCGACGCCCGCGTTGGGCGTGGTTGGGGATAGAAGGAATCATGGCATTGTTGGCTGGAATCAGGAGGCTCCAGGGTTGGTGCGCGTGAGCAGGGTTTCAGGTGCCATTCAGGGGAGGTTGATAGTAAATATTTACAAACGATGGTTGGACCAAGCCCCACCACTACTATACTCTCTCGTCCGTGACGTGAAGCATTAGTCTGGGAATGGCCCGGTCTGTTTCGGTAAATATGGAAGCTCGTCATATGATTTCAATGTTATGCAACGAAAAGCGAGAAAACGTAATTAAGCAAATATGCTATCTGACAGTTGGCTTTGAAATATATGTGGTTGCAACTGTAGTTATCGGCGACCGAATACACGTGTAACCGTACTTACAGAGGCCTGTGATCCGTCAAACATTGAACAGCACCCAAACATCATGCCGATACCATACAAGCAAACGTGCTGCCGGGCTTCGTCCGCTATTTGATGGACACCAACTCAAAGTCTGCCTCCTTCTCTGGTCGTTAAATCTTCTTCCTGGCTGAGCGGATACAACAGGCGGAGAGAGATAACGTTCACGAACAAGACGACCAGGTACACCAACCGGCGTCGGGTTGTACAATTGCGCCCGTCTGGCACTTTTCTTTAGCTGTCTGCGGGATGTAAGCAAAGGCTACTCGTCCTCCATGCAGATGATTTATTTGGCGTAATTATAATGGACGCAATCTCCCAAGCACATATTTATTTCATGTACAAACAGCTATTTACCCCCTTTTTATGCCCCATTATTGCCCATTTCGCTGCCTATACTGCCGCAATCCCCGTTTTTCTTCACGGCTCTCCAATGAGGCATTGCAGTTAACTGCTGTTTGTGTGGATTCAGTACGTAATGAGAGTCATTTACGTGCCTCCGTGACCATTACGTGCGCGCCGAAACGGAGAACGATCGGGCGTTTCGCCGATTGCCTGCTATGCATGCAAGCCGCCGGTGCAGCGGTGACTGTATGTGCAGAGGATTGTAGTGTTACATCAAGCAAAGAAAAGGCCGTCAATTAAGCTTCTGGCATGTCAGGTCAGGTATCGCTTTTCTCCTCAGCAAATGCCAATGTCCATGTGACATTTCTGTATTTCCTGTTGTTCTTGATAGGCCGGTTAGCGGAGTGTGTAATTGCGATAAGAAGGGCGAGTGCTGGTACATGTGAGCAGGGGCATACGAACGTCGCCAAAATAAGTGTGAATTATTTTTGATAATGCTTCTTTTAGTGCATCGCCGTAATGTCTCCGTAAAATTTCCGCAAAAAGAGGCGCGTCATGACCCCCTCATCGTTCCAAGTTAGATTTCTTGAGGGAAAACTCAAGTGAAGTGGAAGGAGCGACGAACACGATGAAAGCATTGCGTGAATATGCTTATATATATATATATATATATATATATATATATATATATATATTCATTACCGTTCCACTTGTTTTCCTGCTGATTCACTTATAAACTTTGCCTCTCCACTTCGTGTACAAACAGTTGACTCTAAAGAATGGCGGATTTTTCTATTTCTCTCCTTGCGCTGTAAACACTTGGATTTTTAGCTGTCTCCTGGCACCTCTGATCATACGGAATGTGATATTTCATCATCGCAAGTCCCGATGCAACCAACGGCAAATAGCGGGCTCCAGACTCTCTGCGTCTTCACACACGCGTGTTCCATACTCCCTTCCTCTTCACCCAGAGCGTGTTCCAGACCCTCTGCCTCCTCACACATCGCGTGTTCAAGGCTCTGCCTCCTCACACACAGTGTGTTCCAGACCCTCTACCTCTTCCCACATATCGTCAGGACTACGCTGCGCATGTCTGCTGAGTTTCATAGTCGCAATTCAATGCGAACTAGCATTTGTTTTATCGGCTCCCTGCTGAGAGCTCACGTTCCCATCCAGGGAGTCATCGCCGCGTGTCGTCAGTTGATGGCCGGGTCTCTGGAAGACAGACACGTTGCCGCGGTCGGCAACGCCCCGCAATTTCCGCCTCGATCGGCCATAGTTCAAGTGCGGGCGTAGCTGGGCGACCCAGGAGACGAAGAAGGGTGCTCAAGCGCGAGACGGCTCGTGCATCATGTCTGTCATCATTCGACCGCGACGCGTCCACACATTGCTTTCGCCCGCGCAAAGCCATCTGCCCGTCAGCAGGCGGGCAGAGGAGGGGAACCGGGTGAGGCGGCGTGCGCGTGGGTGGGGGTGGGGTGGGGTTGAGCGGGGGGGAGGGCGGCTGGTGAGCCCGAGAATCCCGTAGCCCTCACGCTGCCGGCACGAAAGTCGCTTGAGCTGCCAAGAGTGGTCGTTTGCTTGTGAACGAAGCCGGGCGCGGCGGCAGCGAAGCCGAGCGTCGCGGCCGGCGAGCGATTCCGAATCTGCAGAGGCGGAAACGCCGTCGGCCAGCGGCGGGAACGCCGTCGGTCAGCGGCGGGAACCCCGCGGAGACGCTCCTCCCCGACACGGGCGTCTGGACCGCAGGTGCAGGGCCGCGCGTGGGTGAGATGCAGGCATGCTGTGGGTGGGCTCGGGTGCGGTTCGTAGCGCGGGGCGGGCACGGGTGTCGGGCACCCGCCGCTCACCGCACGCAGTCGGCTGGGCTGGACGTGGAACGGTCATGAGCAAGCAGGCGCTGGTGGCCAGCCATGGCCGCGTGACTCGTTCGGTTGATGTGGTGGGTCCTGAGGTGCTGGGTGCAGGCAGTCCATGTTCGCCCCGCGCGGCGGAGCCCGTCGCCGGGCAATCCGCCTGTTACCATGGCCAGCTAATATACACAATCGCTCCGAAATGATCACAGTGCAGGGGTGGCCGGTGCGTCATCCGGACCCAAACGACCGGGCATTGCATGTCAAAATAAACAGCGGCGAGTGCGCAGGTCAAGATGTCGTGACATTTCGGTTCGTAAGGTGCCCGGATGGTGCGCAGCGCGCACTGGCTGTTCACTGGTCGTGGAGCAGACCCTTGTCCTGCTGTACGGACATCATTCATCTTAGATGAGCGTCCATAATTAACTTTCCGCGTGTACTGATTATTCCATTTTTTAAATAATGTCACATTTGATAGGATCCCGATAATATGTATGCAGTTCTGTGTATGGCGTGGCATGCTGATTAAAACATACCTGCTGCTACCCGTTTTTGCGTACGTTGGCAGCGCAGCACTTATCGAAACGCCGTTTGGCCAAAATGTTGCCACGTGAGTTGGGTGGTCGTATTTTGAGGATATCTCTGCCTTGACAACCAGGAAATACTAATAAACGACGTCGTGAAGAGAGTGAGGCTTTATTGACCAGGCTCATCAAGAAACGCTAACCAAACGACGTTATCAAACAGGAATTGACAAGTGGAATAGAAAATTATATGTTCCTTATGCCCAAAAATCTACCGATAGAAACAAAAACGTCGCCATGGAATTAGTTTGATTTGCTTCGTAACTTGCTCTGATAACTGTGTACTGCAGTACTGGAGCCTTTTAGTGCATAACGTGATCATGAATTGCCTATCAAGTGGGATGTATGTCTATGCAGGAGCGTGATTCAATGTCTTGAGCTTTTCATGTTGTCAAACTGGCCGGAGAAGTAACGTACGTGTGTTTGCACGTGTTTTGTAATTTGACCCGATATGCGGATGTACAATCTGTTGGTTGACTATTCACCTTCGCTTATGTTTCATAAACCATGCGTCATATTATGCCATATTCGAACATTTTCCTTCCGGCTGCCTTGCATTGCTTTGAGAGTGGGGAACGAATGTCTTCAAGCGAAACCTAGCTAAAACTGATTTAAATTCATGTTGACGAACTGATTTAAAGCTCACCGAAAGGAAGATATGATCGAAGTCGAGCAATCGAGCAAACGAACATGAAACTGATTAAATGTACCTTTGGCTTTCCATATAATAATCCTTGTATTAATGAAAGCACACTATCTAAATAAACGAAAATGCGCATCTATCTTTCTATAAGTACACATACACACGCACATGTGTATATGTATGTATAGTTTAAAATGTTTAGTGTATTTATATGTATTCTGGTGCGTATTCCTATGCTATTATCATAAGGTTAACTTTACCTGCGATCCTGGTGGCATTTGCCATGCTTGGAGGCGCGCTCCAAGCCATAGAAAACATTGGTTATGTTGACAGAACTTTAGGTTTGGGCAATACACCTCACCCTTCCTTGATACTGTCGGTTAGCCAGTACTTGCCCCTTGTTGGATACGTCATGGTTGCTTATTGTCAATATGATTCCCAACTCACCATGTCGAAAATACGAGAAATAATCTGAGCATTGTTCCATCCAGAGCAAAGGACGTTCTGACTTTTATCAATACTTCCCGTTTCAACTTTTCGTTCTGGGTCCTTCAGCCAATCGGTTTGGACAACAAGTCACGCTTTCGAATCGGACTTGCCTGGAAAACATTTCGTCCAGCGTGCTGTCCGCAATAAGTTAGGTGTTCTGACGCCATATAGCCCAGTCAGCTCACAAGAGTACATTGTCAAGCGCAAGGAAGACGTTCCCCGAACCGTTTCGTGCATGCTCCCCCAAGTTTAGACAAATTGCTCTGCTGGAACGCGACATTTCACAAGAACGAGCACGCCCTTGGCTCGGAGAACTGAAGTTAAAGGCCATCCCATTCGGGACTCGTTGTGCTCGTGACTGCTGTAATTGACAACACCATGCGCAAAGGTTCAAATGTACCGCATGGCGCCTCCGACATGTCTTTGTTGTCATGT